CGTGGTTGTTGGTGGACAGGGGGCTTTGCAGACGGGTGGCCTGTTGGATGGCTCGATGGCTTGGCCGCCAAGGCGACAATGCAAGACAGGCCCTGGCCTGGCCGGGCATGGCATGGCCTGGCATGGCACGGGCGCCGTCTCTGCGGCAGCGCATCGCATCGAGGCTGCACAGCAGCAGAGGCGAGCGGAGGAGGAGTTGGACGAAGAGGGCAAGCCACACGGCTCCGCCTCGCATCTGTCTGCCTGTCGTCTACGCTGCAGCAGGCCACAGCAGCAACAGCATGGCGAAAGGGAGGGGACGAGATCGACTTTGAATCCCCGCTGCCGTCGTCGTCTCGCAGCTTCGTCACCCGGTGGCAATGCGTTTCTGTGCCGCTACAGGTAACTCCATGCATGATCCGCCCGCCGAGATACGAAGCACCATACACGGCGCGGAGATGAGCCAGTGCCGGACCTCCGGATCGGGGCGTGCTTCTCTCTCCCTCCCTCTCTAAAATCCCTGAGGGGACCCTCAGTATTAGCTTTCCCACGTTGCGATTCCGTGCTCCGTCCGAGACGCCGAGCCCTCGCCCTCCGTTTACTGCCGACGCGTGATGATGTAGATGTAGTGCCACGGAGAAGATGGAAGCCCGCGGGGAACATCCATCTATGCTTTTTCGAAGCACAAGAAGCTTCCGTCACCTCATCGGCGGCGGCGGATCCCGTCCACCATCATCTCGCCTCCATGTCATGTCAGCCGTCAGGGAGGGGGAGGAGGCATTCAGCGCGACGCCACACGTCAATTGATGAGGGGTTCGCTAACCTCCATGTCATGGAGAGGCTCCAGATGCTCGTGGCACAATACCTACATGCAACACTGCACTTGCCGGGTCCGTCAAGCCAAGCCCGCGTCTGGTCCTACGGTGGTGCCAGGTCCGTGCTGCGGTGGCTGAACACTCAACAGCACGTCAAAAGTACGTGATATCAGGCCAGCAGCAGCACCGGACTTGGGACGGTCGCCGAGCATACATCCATGCCTACATTATATGTGGACATGGACACAAGTGCCGCTGATGAGAGCAATGTCCGGGCTGGCCAATGCAGCGCCAAGAACGGCGCACACGCCCTCGAGGCCGCGTGCCCTTGCGGCATCATCAGCACCAATCCGTCGCCGGGGACGTGTAGAGTGTCGTCTGCATTCCAAGCCCCAACATGGTCTGAACGCCCACGGCCCGCAGCCAACAACGGTCATGTTTCTGACGGGGGGAAAACTTTTTTTGCAGTCCTCGCTTCCCCCTGAGATAACTATCGACAGGACGTAACCAACAATCGTACGGCATAAATTTTGTCGAACATGCAGACCAAAAACCCAATTCATCCGCGTTTCGCGGTGCAGTGACAGAGGGGAGAGATCGCTCCATCTTGCCCAAAGGGGCTGCCGACCAGCTAGCGCGGCGCCTCTCCAGGCTGATGTGGACTCGCCTGGCCTTGCCGCCGCAGACTTTTTGCTCACCGACAGACGAGACCAAGGCACGGGAAATTCGTTGGCCGTCCGAGCCAAAGATCGGACAGTAACAGGTGAAGAAGCGCATCCATGCAAGCATTATTACTGTGCTCCGCCTCCAGTGTTGCACGCTAGCATCATCCCTCCCCTGCGCGTCCCGGAGCAGTAGTAGTTAGTCGTTGCAACGGTCGACTGATTGATTGCTACGGCCAACTGAGGAGAGAGCCCAGTTGCCCAGGCAGGCCAGGCCAACCCCCCTGTCGGAGCCGGGGGTGAGCCCACGAGGCCCTCACAAGTGCTCGCAGCATCGCTTGCTGGAGCAAGGGCCGCAAGCCCACTCGATGACGTATCGATTGTTTGTTTGACGCGCCAGCAGCACGCACAAGCGAACACGCAGAAACACAACCAACGATTTATTTGCGACTCGAGAATGTGAAGCCGCGATGAAGCTTGCTGCTCGCGCAGCGTCGCTCGCGACTCAGTGTTGAGAACTATGAGACCCTGACCCTACGTCCAGACCGGTCCGCGAGAGAAAGCCATGAACTCTAATCCCCCCACGGACACGGCGGCGCGCCGAAAGCGACGGCCGCTGGACGGGCGGGCGAGAGTCAGACCCGGCAAAGTCTGGCGCCTACCGAGGGGCCGGCCTTTTTGCGCCACCGGCTACCGCTGTCGCCGCCCTCGACCCATGGGGCCACGATGGCTTACCTTATCGCTTACTATTACCATATTGCGGTTTTTGCGATGACTGATGCGGAGGCTGGCTGGCTCTCGGACTGCAATGTTCCGGGGCCATGGTGCAGCACTGCAGTAGTAAACCAGGGTTGCGCTGTCCGGTCCCCTGGAGTGGCAATTACTTGAGTATGTAATTGAGATCGTGGTGCTTCTGAGCCATGCACTTTGTGAGATGCGTTATCTGAAACCACAAGTGCAGCCTTGCGTGGGAGCGCTGCCGAGTCGCATCGCGGACAATGACCGGCCTGCCTCATCCGAGCGCTCGCGATGGCGATGAGCGAGGCCGTTGGAGCCACGGTCCGCATCAATCAATGATGGAACAGATTTTCATCTCCGCATCTTGCTTTCCCCAGACGAGCGCACAACCCTCTCCAGATTCCGCTTTGGATACGACCGAGGAAAAAATTTTGGCATCCATCGATCCATCCATACATCCACCCATCGCATATCGTATCGTATCGCTCCCGCTCTCGCCAAACACGCACGACCCGCAACAACGGCGGCCCAGAGCGCGGGCGCCAGCAGACTGGAGCGGGCGTCGGCTCGGCGGCGCTGCTCCACTCACTCTCTCACCTCACACCTCAACGGGCCATGGCGCGCCGCCGCCGCCGCCGTCGCCGCCGCCAGAGATAAGGATGGGGCCCGGATGGGTCAGGGTTGGCTGGCAGGCTGGCAAGCTGGCTTAGCTTTGTGTCTCTGGCGCGAAAACCGGTGGGGCTGCGAGACACTGCTGGGCTTTGCTCTGATACGCAACGAGACAGCACGGAGATGCCGCCTTCAACACCACACTATACCACGCTGCAGTATTGCATCAATGGTAATGTGCCGTGCCCATTGCGACGTTGTATTTTGCTTTCAAGCCATTGTTCTCCTCCGATCACTTACGGAGTACTGATCAGTACTCATGCTGCATGCTAGGCTGAGAATAAGACCAAACTGAAGGGGACACCAATGCCAGCAACCTTCAGGGTCTCTGCGGCGCACACGCTAGATGTGTTAATGCAACTTTGAAGATGATGTGCGAGCATCCATCCCCATCCACCCACAGCTGCCCGCACCCCAGACTTCAGGTTGTCAACTGCGGATTCGGATTCTCCACTTCACCTCACCGGGGTGCGGTCCTACGTACGTACTGCTCTTACGTCTCTGCAGGCCAGCCGCAACCATGGGTTCTTGACGGCGGATAAACTGCCTGCTTGCTTCATCATGAACCCGCCGCCAGCATGCATGCAACGACTCGCGCTGGCCCCGTCCGGCCCGCGTCTTATTAACACAAGGCAAGGGCCGAGCTGCAGGCATCGCCCAGCCGCACTCTTCATGTAGCTATGTGCATCACTGCAGACGAAGACTTGCAGAACAAGCGCTGCTTCTAATTTCATCGCCCCTCCCTCTCCTCCCGGCGTCAAGCTAGTACGCAGCCGTGTCAGCTCCCGCGACGAAGACGACGGCCGCAGGTCGGGGGTCGGGGCGACGACTGCTTCTCTCGGCCAACCGCTGCCGCCTCTCTTTGATGACCCGGCGACGCGCCAGCCGTAGCAATCCACAAAGCAGTGCAGCTTCTGACCGCCTATGCAAGTCCTGTCTCTTGTGGTTGTGTCTTGCGGCAACGCGCGGTCTTGGGGCCCTTGAGGTCCCTTGGCCCTCACACCATCTTCACGTCGATTCTGCATGAGCCCAGTGGCGATTCCCATCCCCAACGACTTCAAGTGTGTGTGTGTCTGTGCTGCCGCGGGCCCGCCACCACTAGACATTGAATGGGCCTTCGGCTCGGACGCCGCGCCTCCACTCGCTCCGCGCGTCGAGTAAAATGTCACCACCCCTTTTCTTTGGACCCTGTGAAGATACCTGCTTGGATGTTGGCAGTTGCAACAGCTTCGAGAGCAACGACAGCGGCGGGTATGTGCGCGCAGCCCGGTGGAGCAGTAGGGAGTGCAGCGACGCGGGAGCTGTTGGGAGGGGCGTCTCGCGCGCGGATTGAAACGCGCATCCAGTCCCCTGCAGCATGCAGAGTGATCAGTGTGCTGTACGAACGCGAATACCACGTACGAAGTAGTACATGCAACGGCCAGGCTGCGAATGAGTGAACCGGTTGGTGGTGGTGGTGCAAAGATCGTGCTGCCATATCTCGCGAGTCTGCGTCTGAGAGCGTCTGTCGCGGTCGGGCGGCAGTAGTTGCGCTTACTCCTCTCCCTGCTGATGATCTCGACTCGGAGCATTTGGCCATGTAAGAGCTACCCGGACTTGCACATACCGCTCCGGCGCTTGTGCCTGATCGACCGCCGAGGCCGCGCGCCATTACGCCCGTCGCCGGGCATGCTCTCGAATGCCAGCTAGCGTCACATCGTCGTATGTACGTAGCGCCATAGGAGGTCCGGCTGGCGGCCCAAGAACGAAGACGGAGTTTCGCGAGGCCAAAGGCCCTCCCGAGCCGACATGCCTCGTCGCCTTGTTCGCGGGCTCCAGGGGCTGCTGGGGGGCTGCGCAAAATGCCCGCCCGTGATGCTGCCGCCATGCAGCGCAGCGCCTCGCGTCGCATTGCAGTCCGTGTTCTACCCACCCGTTGGAGCATGGCGGCGGCCCAGCACAGCAATCATGGCCAGTGCAGTTCATGTGGTGGTGCAGCGGCGAGCGACTTGCGGGACATGGGAAAAATCCTCAACACCACCATCACGACACGCAGTGGTAGTCGCGCATCTCGATGATGGTGCCGTCTGCGAATCGTGATTGGCCCGCCCGAGTTCTTCTGCGATCAGGTCTCGTCCGTTCCAACCCCTGTTGCGGCTTTGCGCTTGGGCTAGCAGGGGGGCAAGCTGCCTTGGATGCTTGGCTGCATCGTTGAATCCACACCGACGAAGCACGACAGGGCCAAGGGGGGTGGGATGAGACGAGCGAGCGAGCGCGCGAGCTTTTCGCTGAGTGGGCTTGCTAGCCGTTTGGCTGGTGCTTTTCTTGACACCTGCTGTGGAGCTGGCAGGGGGAGAACCTGTCACCAAGCTCGAACTTCTCTTGTTAGCCGTTGAAGCTAACTAACACGTCCAACGATGCGGCTGAGATGCTCGTTGGTGGACGTTTGGTTCCGGGTTCAGAGACGAGACACTGCAATTAGAGCAATTGCGCGGCCCAGATCAAATACATGTTGTATGCATGTACGAAGTACTGTAGAGTACATGCGTAGAACACCATCAGCTCTACTACTTTGTGCATACGAGTTCTCCGTCTGGCCACGCAGTTCCACTGGATAGCTATGCTATCCTGCCCCGCGAGGTCCGACAGCGGACGCATATGTCTTTGCCACTGGTGCTTTGGGGGGGGGGCTCAGTTTGCATTGGTGTCGGATGGCGAGCTGCAGCCACGCCCAACATTTTCTTCACGAATCGCATCCAGCGAGCTCTGCTGCTGGTGCTATTGTTCGCAGGGACCAAGAGGCAAAGTTCGCGCATTTTCGTGGACAAACTCGCGCCGTGCAGCGACCGTCCACGGCTAAAGTCTCCGGCGCGACGACACCCTGCACACTGCACGCAGGCAAGCCGCCGTCCCAGGTTCCCACCACCCCCTTCTTTGATGCCGGCAGCGGCCCCACCTCACGATGTCTGTCGTGCCGCTGCCGCATCAGCAAGTCACGAAGCTAAGATGCCATGCGGCCCCAGCTGCTCCTCCCCTCCTCCTTCTCCTTCTCCTCCTCGCGGCGGCGCCTCTTCCAGGTTGGGGCTTGGCGGGGTCTAGCTGAACGGACGGGCGAGAGCGTTGTTACCCTTTCCCAGCGGGTTTGCGCCATGAACGATGGCTGAGCGGCGGCGTCTGGGCTAAGAACAGTAAAGGAACTCTGGCCGAGCCGATACGATTTATCCGAGTACGTACGTACATGGAGAATGCGCAATGCCTCCCAAGCCGCCCGCCGTTCAAGGGTCGACAGACGCCCGCCCGCCGCCTGCCTGCCTGATGGCGCAATGCGCAATGAGGGGGAGGAAAGAAGGGCGCAGGCGATGAGAGTGCCGCGCCGGGATCGTCCTGAGGCAACATACGACGAGACGTCATTGTCATTGGCAGCAGCCGTCGTCGTTCCGAGGAGGTTCCCTTCTCAGCAGTCGACGACTAGGGGTCCAATGGACCCTGTTTCCATCGGTCACCCTGATATGCTAGCATGGGGATGTCATTGCGGAGTTCGTGCCTAGGGGTTACCCGACGCCGATTATGCAACTTACACGTAACAAGTTGAGAACTCACTTGCACGGCTGCGCCGCGAGCACAGGCACGTAGCGGCCAAAGTCAACATGCCGCCATGTGCCTTCCCGGCACAAGATCTGAAGCCCGCAAGCCAAGGGGCGCCATCGCATAGCTCCCTCAAGGCAGGAAATCAGGTTACGGATGCGTCGTGGCTTCACCGACATTACTGGGCTAGGTATGGATGGACCCCTAAGTTTGCCTCCGTGCTTGCGCCTGCTCCATTCACATCCATCAGCAACCCATCCTTCGTCGTCGGCCGGTCTCCCTTTCGAGACCCAGTCTGGAATCCCGAGATGTTGGCAGTGGCAACGGCGTCGGCGTCAACAAGGCAGAACCCACAGATATCTCCGCATGATTGGCATGGAAGTGGTGTGCCCTAACGCGCGAGCGGCCTCGCCCAGACGGCGTCACGCCGAGACTGAATGCCTGCGCAGGCCACAAAGGGGGCTGCCTGCGCCAAACACGCCGCTGCTTGGCTGCTTGCTGGGAACGACGCCACTGCGGCGTCAAGACGGCGGCACGCGGGAGTGCTCCTGCCTGGGCTTGCTCGGCCGCCCGCCCCAGCCCGCTCCACGGGTTGCCATGTCGGGGGAGGGGGCAGGCGGCGCAGTCACACTTCCCATGGCGAGCCCGCGGGAGTTTGCCTCTGCAGTTGGGAGGCTTGCGTGATGGTGTCCAGCTGTCCGAGCTGTCGAAGAAGCGGGGGATAACTGGAGGGGGCTTGACCCCCTCTTCTCCGGGGCCCGGGTCGTGTCGCATGCAACCGGTGAGGGCCGTTTGCCTCTGGGGCGGGATCTGATGCCGTTAGGAGGTGACAATGCCCCTGCCGCCCGCAGCCCCTTGGACTCCATGGATCGGTTCGTGCGGGATGGAGACGTCTATTGTTCGATGGCGAAGCAAAATCGCCACTGACGAACATCTCGATAGGCAATCGAGAAAGTCCCGGAAAGCACTTTGTCCATGGCAAAAGTGCTGGAATTGCTGGGGCCTCGTATGACCAACACGTAACTCGGAGCGACATGTCACGCCATACAACAGCAAGCGCGAGAGGCCCAACTCCGACGCATCCGCTTGCAGGAGTCCAGCGGCAGCGACATGCGGTCCAGGGAACTGACTTGCCGGGCGGGCACGTCAGAGCTCTCCAAACCGCCCTGCCTGTAGCTACCCCAGTCCCCATGCCTCCGACGTATTTGCTTTCCATCTCCTCATTCTCTCAGCCTTGGGGAGGGGAAGGCCTGCAGCCAAGTCAGTAGTTAGCCAGCTATCGACGGCTGTGGGCAGACATGGAGCATCGCCGACCCCAGGTTCTGCAACCAGCCATGATTGTGGGCGGACCAATCACGGGCGCACTGGCAATCTCTCCCATGCTCGGGGGGCTTGCATTGCATCACGGTCTTTCCCCCATGGGCCCGGAAGCTTTTCAGTGAAGGGGACGCTGTTGGGAGCGGGGACCTTGATGAAACGGACATGGCCGTCAATGATGGGATGGCCCGGTCACGAGCAGGCGGCATCATGGCCTGACCGCCTCTCGAGAGAGAGAGAGAGACCGTCAGCGCGACAGTGATTGGAATGTCGCGGTCCGTTGTGGTAAGCCGTAGCAGCTGCGGCAGTTAGTTAGTTACATGGTGCGGCCAGATCGAGCGGTGGCCGAGGAGGCTTATTGACACACAACGATCAACTCCTCCTTCAACTGGCTGGCGAGTCACAGTCGCAAGCCAGGTCACGGGGAGGGAAGACGAAACGCCAAACCCTCGACCTGCGGCGGGGGTGGCCGCCAAACTGTTTAGTTTGCGATGGGGACGGCGCCGATGCAACGCACGTTCTTGCCCGGTGGCTTTTCAACTCCAGACATGTTCTCCTCCTCAATCTCATTCTCCGCCTCCCTGCTTGCCGTTTACCCCAGACTCTCCGGGCTGCACGCGCCATGCCGAAGCCGGTGAGCAGCCAGGATCGACATTGCGGTTTGCTGCCGGCAAGTGCATGCCTGATCTGTTGCCCTGTCGTCGCGCTGACTGCCTGCCTATAGCAGGTTGCTGCTAATGCTGCTGCCGGTGGTGCTGATCTCCTCATCGCCTCGCGACCGCGGGAGATCATCAATCACCAAGCTGACCTTGGCTTGGATGGTTGGTTGGTTGGCCCCGGGTTGCTTCAGCTGCTGCCCTCGCTTCCCAATGGAGGTGGCGAGCACGTTTTCCGATCAGCGCAAACCCAGATAAGCTCGCGCAGCGTCATTGACCAGCAAGGGGCGCGAGATAGATCACTGATGATAGCCAGCCTTTCCCCCGTACGGAGTCGTCTGCACTGCTCCGCTCTTCATGGCAAACCCCCCAGCGTAGGAGGCTCAGGGTCCTCGAGAAGTGAAACTTGCCCATGGCCGGCCGGCTGGCCAGCCGACAAGCTGGGGCAGTCTGACAGGCGGCAAGCCCATCATCATTGTGGCTTCTCGTATCGCTGGCCACAGGCCTCATGCACCACGCACCTCTTGCGGGGGGCCCGTCCCTCCCGTCGCAGCCACGGCCACGAACCACCTGCGCGTGTCCAACCAGCAGCGTCCCGCCATCCTGGACTGCTGCTGCTGCTTCCATCGCCGACCACCGCAACTTGCACTTCGGCAAAGCGTCTGTTACTCCGCACCGCGTTCGTCTCACCCCCTCACGTCGACGGCGGCGGCGGCGGCCTGCGGCGTGGGCGCCTGATGCGATGGGGAGACCTCTCGCGCAAGCCACAGCGCCTGCCTGGGTTGAACGAACGATACACGCCAGCCTGTGGCTGGATGCAAGGCGCAGGCAGCGTTGCTCGTGGTCCGGGGTGGGGGAACCATGCTCGCTGCTGCTGCTGCTGCTGCAGCAGCACCAGAGAGGCCACCCCCGCTGGGGTGCGATGCTAGCAAGGCGGAGAAGCATCTCGTCACTCTCTCACTCCCCCTGCGCTGTGCTCACGCGGGACGGTCGCCGGAGGAGACACTCCCCGGAGGCCTTGTGCGAGCCGGACGTGGACACTTGCTGCGCTGCCGCTCACCGAGGTCACCGCCGATGCGGGCGCGACCTTCAGTCGAGCTCAATGGGCGGGAGAGGGTTTCATTGAAGATGGAAAGTTGAAGCCCGGGACGAGCCCATCAGAGCATCAAACGCCTGGACCGCAGTCGCCTTTCAGTCTCGACTCGGCGTCTCGCCATCCATTACCACCACCACCTCCTCCAACACCACTACTAACACCACCAACTAGCCCCCCTTCCTCTTGACCGCAACTGCTGCAGCGCCCGCGCCAGTCCAGACGCGTCGCAACACGGGAGAGTGAGGGCGGCACACTCCCTTGATGCCCCCTCCATCCCGGTGCCATCGCGCATGCACGCCATCCTGCTGATGCCACCTCGTGCCGCGCATGCTGGCGCGCATTCCCAACTCACCGATATGCACGCCAAATGCGGAGTTGTGTAGATTGTGCCTTGTTCAATCTGCATGCCTCTCATGCTGTGTGCCGCGACGACGAGCCAAGCAGAGAAGCATGCTGCCTCAGGCATTGGCCTTGCGCGTAGTCTCCTCGGCCTCTACGATCACGCCGTCCCGACCCGGTGTCCTCCATCACGGGATGGCTCACGTACAGGCCGGGGGGCGACTGGGGATACTGTACGCCCCCGACATGGACTCTCGGGACGCGCGGCAAACGAGCTCCAGTTAGTTTTCCAGCTGCAGCATGTAGGCGTGAATCCAAAAGTCGCGTGGTCTCAAGGTTCCTCGGGTCTGGGGTCGGGGACTCTGGGGTAGTTCATGTCGCAAGTCGTACGATGACATCGTCACTGCCGGACTGATGCGTCTTTAGCGAGATTGCCTTCGCGCACGACACGTGTAGGGCTCTATAGAGTGGGCATGCGTAAGGGAAGTTTCGTGTTTCCCAACAGTTTCTGTTGTCCATCTGTCATGAGATATAGTGCTTGCCAAGTCGCCGCTATTCTCCGGAATGGACTTCGATGTCTGCGTGCGGTGCGGCGGAAGCGACTCGTCACGGTATAGGGTAGGCAGTGCTGCCTCTTGACACTCCAAGATAACCGTGATCAGGCACCGAGGAGAGAGAAAAGAAGATCTGGGCAGGCTGTAAGGACAAGTAATGGCTTCCGGATCGTTCTAATGCTCGAAGGGTTGCCTTTAGCTGGTCGCCCGCGGCGCATGTATTGCGTCCTGCGTGGCTGAGAATTCGAACTTTGAACATGAACTCAACTTTGAACCTTGAACATTGAATATTGAAGTTGTACGAACACGACACACGCAGCTGGCAGCGTCCCTGTCTTCTTCGCAAGAGATGCGCCCCTCCTTCTGGACCGCCTCGTAGATGTTGGAGTCCAGTCGCAGCTTCTTCCGGCCCATGGCGCTCTTGAGTTCGATGAGCAGTGCGCTGATGACCTTGCCGTATCCTCCAGCGAGTTCCCGGCCTCGATGCTGCTTGGGGCGCTCGGGTGAGTACAGTGACCTCAACTCGTACACTTCATCTCGCGCACTTGGTGGCAAATGGCCCTGTGAAAGTTCTCCATAAGCATCTCCATCTTCTTGACCTCGGTCGAGTACACCTAGCTGGTGACGTCCGGGCAGAAGGGGATCTTGGTACCGTTGCGGAGAAGGAATCGCGTAACAGAACACGAACGTTCGCGTCGGGCTTGATATGTCGTCCTGCGGCCTCATGAACCCTGACAGCCACCAGCACAGTGCTGGGATTCTGGGACTCGTAGCTGTGCGATTTAATACCGGCTGCTCAAAGAACAAACCCGTATAACCGCGTGATAACATGTCCGCCCATGACGGACCTTGACGACTTACATGCAAATCGTTCAAGACCGCCGGCGGTCCAGGGTAACTTCACTGGGAGGTCAGTGTTCGCAACGCGCCGCGAGCAACAGCACCATCATCGCTACCGGCGTTCAAATTGCTGTGAGTCGCTGTGTTTGTTGTCTGTCGGACGGAGAAGCATGCCAAAAGGGATATGTGCATGTGCCCTGGCGACCAGCAACGATCGCGCTCCCGCCGATTCTCTCACATGCGGACTGGCCCCGTCACCCCGTTCATACATCTTCGCGACAGAGCATTCGCTCGAATGGTATAGACATTGGATGCTATGAAATACGTACATTCGTCGGACCGCGCTGTTCCCAAAAATATCACACAGCAGCAGGCGGCCCTCGCCAACCGAGCCCTCGCCACGCAGACACGACATCCCGTCGTCTACATGGTGTGCTGGTGCTCGCCCGCGACGGGCGGGCCGGCGTAGTTCTTGTGCCCCCAGACCCAGTACCAGAGTGCGGAGATGCCCGTGGCGGCGACGAAGACGGCCGGCGCGTAGTTGACGGTCGTGGCGGTGACGGGGAGGGCGGAGGGCATGCAGAACAGCGGCAGAGCCAGGAGGGACCAAGCTGCAGACAGGTTAGCCGAGGTCAAAATACAAGCGCCGCAAGCGGCACGCGGGAAGAGCAGAGTAGGGGCAAAGGAAGGGGGGGGGGGGACATACCAATGGCAACAACGTTCAAGAGGTAGCCCCAGCGGCCGAGGTAGAAGGCAGCTCCCTGAACCTGCTTGCGGCCGGTGGCCAAGCTGATGGCGATGGGAGTCGCGTACGAGGCCGTCAGGCAGATGACACCGACACCGGAGAAGGCGTTGAAGGCGGTCGACGAGCCAAAGTAGATGAGGCCGAGGAGGACCTCGACGACGGCGCACAGCATCATAGCGTTGAGCGGGACGTCGAGGTTGCGGTTGACCTTCATCCACCACTTGGAGCCGGGGATGGCGCCGTCGCGGGCAAAGGCCCAGGTGCAGCGGGACGAGGCCGTGGTGCAGCCGATGCCGCAGAGGAGGGCGAGGACCATGAGCGGGATCAGCAGGCCAATGGCGCCGCCGGGCGAGCCAACGGCCTCCTTGATGATGGTCGGGACGGGCTGGCCGGACGGCAGGGCGATGAGCATCTGGATGTCGGGGAGGACGAAGACGAGCGGGATGAGGAAGAGGAGGCCGGCGAAGGTGTTGATGGCGATGGTCGCGACCATGGCCTTGGGGACCTGGACCGAGGGCTTTTGCACCTCCTCGCACATGCTGCAATCACGGTGGTCAGTTTTATTTGTTCTCTTCAGCCCGGCAGGCAATCGAGGGGTTGCTCACGAGATAATCATGCCAGTCGACGAGGTGGCATAGCCGGCGTGCAGAAGACCGACGCAGAACGACCAGCCATCGGGCCAGCCAGAGTTGGCCTCGAAGTGGCCGAAGACGTACTTGGCGTCGTGGCGGCCGTTCTTGGCGAGGACGAGGATCGTGATCATGATGGCGATGACACCGGCAAAGGTCCAGAAGATGGCAGCGGTCTTGGAGGCGCGCGATTAGCTTTGACACTATAAGATCGAGCGGGCGAAGATTGTGGCATCTTACATCGAGCCACGGCAGCCACTTGTTGCCCAGAGCAGACACGGCATTGCACAGGATGGTGATGCCGAGGAAGATGAGGAAGACCTGGTACGGCTCGCCGGCAAAGACGCCGACGCCGGGCTCGGACTCGAAGACATTGATGCATGCGACGAAGAAGAGGGTCGTGCCGAAGTTGACGGCGAGGGTGATGGTGATGTTGCCCACGACGTATGCCCAACCGCAGACCCAGCTCGCGACGCGGCGCCATTTGGGGGGCGAGAGCATGAAGGCCTGGTAGTAGACACCTGCACGAGAGGAACCATTAATACGAGCAAGACACGAGACCGAGGCGGGGGGAAGTGAGCGACGTTTGCGCGATCGAGCGGCGACCGCATGTCCGGACGGAAAAGGGGGAACAGGGAGAGAGAATGGGAAGTTTTACCTCCGGCAGTGGGATAGACACTCGTGATTTCACCAAGCGAGGCAGCGACACAGATGATGATGAGGGAGACGAGGACCCAGCCCCAGATGATGTTGACGGGGCCGCCGCCGATGAGCGGGTAGATGAGCGTGGTGGCGAGGCCGTAGGGGATCGAGGCGAGCACAAAGGACATGAAGGCGACCTGGAGTGTGGAGCGGTTGCGCGACAGCTCAGGCTTGTATCCGAGGTTCTCGAGCAGCTGGTCGGCCGTCTCGGCCTCGCCGACCGACAGACGCGGCGGCGGGTGCTCGAGCTTGGGATCCATGTTGCTGGCGCTGGAGGAGTCGTGCTTGAAGTCGGCGCGCGCCATGGTTTCCGGGCTGGCTGGCTGGCTGGCTGGCAGGTTGAGAGAGGAGGGAAAAGGACGACGACGACCACTTCCGTTGGAGGAAGTGGAGGTGTTGGTGTTGAAGAACGGGGGCCGGGGTGGGTGGTGGTGGGCGCGCGGGCGACTACGGGATCACCACAGCACACACGCACGGACGGGAGCAAAGAGATGGCCCTTTAGGCAAGGATTCGAGGCGGCGACGACGACGATGGGCGCGGTGAGGAGAAAGAAGGTGGACACGTGAGAGGGCGGCTAGACGTTGGTAACCCCCCTGGAGCGCAAAACGGCGCTATGGATGATGACTGGCGCAGGTCGCTTGTGAGTGTGTGTGAGCGTCGTGTGTGTGTCGCCAACAAGGGTTGCCGTTCCTGGTCCCTTGTTCTTTCGTCGCTTCTAGCGGCCGACGGGGATGCGCTTCCGAGACAGAAGAGGAGGAGGGCGGGATCCCGTTGTCGATGTCGCGTGCTCCAAAAGGGAACGTTGAGATGAAAGGAGAGAAAAGGCGGGTATGTAAGGGAAAGGGTTTAAGAGAGACGAAGGGGAGAGAGAGAGAGACGGAAGCGTCGTCCGGGGGGGGTGTGTGTCTGATGGTGGGAGGCTTGGATGGATGGAGGTGGCGGGCGGGGCCGTCGAGATATACGATGGGCTTGAGTTTTCTGGCGGGCGGGCGGGCTGGGCTTCCACGAGGCCGAAGAAAAAGAAGTGGACGGACGGCCCGTTGACAGGAGGAAGAGGGATGGAGGAAGGGAAAGACTGTAGCTCGTCCAGCCAGCCAGCCGGGGCGGAGGCGGAGGCGGCGCCAACGAGTAGGGATGCGAGAGTCAGTCAGTGCCGTCGTCAGTGAGTGTGTCGCCGGTCGAAAAAAGGTTTGACGAACCGGGACTTTTACTTGCTTCGAAGAAGCCCGAACGACGACGACGTGCCCCTACGAGTGCTACGAAGTACTTGCTGCCGCTGCGACACACTACGGGCTGCGCGCTACGCCACAGCGCGGAGCGGAGGGTGGGGCCAGCCAGCCAACGTGGATGGGACGTGGACGTGGATGTCGACGGGCGGCGCGGGCTGTCAGTGGAGGCAAGGTTTTGGGCCTTGGACGGATCCAGGAGGGAGGGGAGGGGGGCGGCGGCGTTGCCTGTTGTCCGTCATGCTGCCCGTCGTCTTGAGAGTCGAGAGTCGAGCCGGACGGACGCGACGACGACGACGGCGCGGCAAGGGCATCCTGTCTCCGTCTGGAGCGGCTGGGATGACGGGTGCGGCGGTCGGTCGGTCGGTGGTGGTGCTGGTGGTTGGCGTTCAAGGTGTCTGGTGTCTGGTTGTTGGACGGGACGCATGGACAACGGGGGGAGACCCTGAATGCGCCGAGTCGGTCGTCGGTGGTGCTACCCAACTTGCATCCGGCAACGTGCCCGCGCTTCAACTGCTGCTGCTGCTGCTGCTGCTGCTGCTTCCGCCGCCGCCGCCACGACGGCGACATGTGAGAGACGGGACTGCCTCGTGGACGGAGAGCCAATTGTGTCGTGAAACGTACTGTACTACAGAGTGCTGTTGTACTGTATGCGTGTATGTATGTATGTATGTAAAGCACACGCACCAACAAAACGGCCGACAGCGAGCGTGCTGGTGCGACGGCCCTGGCTGAGGACTCCCGACGGGAGCAACGAGGTGGTGGTGGTGGCCACCAGCAACAACCGCGCGCGGTCCATCCAAAAAGATGAGCGCCAGGGATCCCACGCAGGGAGATAGGGCTGCCGGTGCTGGTGTCGCCGCCGCCGCTCATCATCAGCCACGGGCGCGCCGCTACTGGTCCCAGCTCCTCCACCTGGCTGGCTCGCTTGGGGTGAGTGGGCGGCCAGGCGATGGGGCCTGAAGATTCGCTGCCAGGGTGCGCGTTAGAGGGGGG